GATTTCCATAGTGGTTGCCCCAGTCTGCACTCCCACCAACAATGGAGCAGGGTTCCTTTCTCCCCACAACCCCGCCAGCATTCGTTATTGGTTGATTTATTGATAGCAGCTGTTCTTTCTGGGGTGAGGTGGAATCTCAGGGTTGTTTTCATCTACAGCTCTTGAATGACCAGTGCTGTTGAACACTTTTTCATATGTTTATTTGCTGCTTTGACTTCTTTGTCTGAGAATTGTCTGTTCATTTCAGATGCCCATTTTTGAATTGGGTCTTTATATTTGGGGGTTCTGATTTTTTTGAGTTCTTTCCTTATTTTTTGTTGTTGTTAAGAGTAGAAAAAATTTACTGAGGGAAAGAAAGCTTCTGTCTAAGAGAGGCAGAAGGGGACCAGAAAGTGGGTTGCCTGCTCACTCCACTTTTCAAACATGGGTACAAAGTGGGACAAAGCTGTAAGACCCAATAGAAATTTACAAGGTGGGCATGAGGTGGGGCAAAAGCATGACCAACCAATAAGATGACAAGTACAGACACCCACCTAATATTGATTAAATGGGGTCAAATGGGAGAGCAAGTTTCAGTAAGGGTGGGGGTCAGGGATATTTCCTGGAAAGGCTGGGTTAAGACCTTGGGCCCCCACCAAGGTGATGGATACCTATTTAGAATTACTGCTAGTTATCCTCAGGGGAAGAGCAAGGGTATAGTAGTTTCTCTCCTTTCACAATTCTGGCCTTCAGTGACTGTGTCTTGCTTGTCCTACATATTGGCTCCTTACTGTGTTAGCTCCTTGAGGGTAGCCCTGTCTAATTGCCTACAAGATATCACATATTCTAGATAGTCAACCTTTGTCTGAAGAATAGCTGGTAAAAATTTTTTCCCTACATTGTAGGTTGTCTTTTAGCTTTGCTGATGATATCTCTCGCAGTTCATAAACATTTTTAAAAGATGAGATCCCAAATGTTGATTCTTTGTTCTAGTTCCCATGCTACTGAGGATTTATTCATAAAATCATTTCCTATGCTGACATCTTCAAGAGTTTTATCTAACTTTCTTCCAGCAAATTTAGTTTCTGTTTTAATATTTATATCTTTTTTGTTGTTTTGTTTTTTGAGACAGGGTCTCACTATGTACTTGAGACTGACCTGGAACTCACTATGTAGCCCAGGCTGGTCTCGAACTCAGCTATCCTCCTGCCTCAGCCTCCCAAGTGCTGGGATTACAGGTGTGCACCACCATGCCTAACTAATATTTATATCTTTAATCCACTTGGATTTTAGTTTAGTTCATGGTGAAAAGATATGAGCCTAGTTTTAATCTTTGACAAGTTGAAATCCAGTTCATTCTTTTTCTTACTGTTCTGGGGAGGATATAAATTAATTTTGGAAAATTATATTGGATAACCACAATCAGAGAGAAGCTCCAATTTTGGCTGAGCTTTCCAGACATATTATCAGAGCAAGTGAGTGTATGGTCAGGAGTTGGCAGAACAATTTTGGATATGCTCCTTAGTAAAATTATCAGTAGTAGTTTAGTATAACGTAGCAATCACATTATTTCCTGACCTTAGCATATAGTCTGCTGTCTAATGCACAAATTCCAATACCTCCACTATACTGTGCAGGCCACCACACTGCTCTGTCACGCGGATGATGTCACGTTGATGGACCTGCTGAATGGGTAGGACCAGCTAAGAAACATTACCTAGACTCCTTTAGGAGGTCCCTGTGTGCTGGTGAGCATGAATTGAAACACTGCAAATCTTAGAGACATCACACCCTGGCAAAATTTCTAGGACCCTGTGACATGCTAAGATATCCCTTCAGAGGAAAAGGACCAGACCATAAGTCCTGCCCTCCTGATGAAGAGACATGGAGTCCAGTTGGGCTGCTATAGCAATTTATACTTCATTTGCAAAAGCTATTTGCTAAAACTTACCGAGGTATACTCCCAACACTTTTAGTTTTGTGTGGTGCAAAGAATAAGAAGAGAGGCTTCAGTTAGTCAAGCCTGCATTTGAAGCTACTCTGCTATTTGAACTGCGTGACACAGCAGATAAGGTGGCACTTGAGAAAAATCAGTGGCACAAAATGATCCTCTGTCAGGCTTGCACTGGTGAAGCATAGTGAGGTATGAGAGATTTTGGAGCAAAGTTGAGCATTTCTCTATAAATAAATATTTTGCTTGCTACCCAATCTTTCCAAATGCTTGTTGTTTGAGTGTGGATCACCAAATTCCCATGCAAACAGACTGGTCAATATAAATTGACTGATGTACCTCTAATAAACCATGCACCTATTTCCTGAGCAGAATTTCATTCTCATCATCGAGGGTATAAGATCAGTGTTGAGAACACTTTGAAAGCATGCCTAGGTTCCCTGAGCAGCCATCTCTCATTGCTAAAGGGTCTACTATGGCTGCATTGCCTCCTCCCCAGTCCACACGTCAGGTCTCATAAAACATTTCTTATGACCAGTTGATTGAAACAGAAAACATCTGGGCCTCATTTACTAATGGTTCTTCTCAATGTGCTAGAACCACCAAGAATAGAAAGCTGTAGCTCTACAGTTCCGCACAGAGAGAGCCTTAAATAAGAGTAGTTAGAAGAATGTACATCTGGTTATTCACTTTGTCTGAAAGAAAAAGTGGATGGAGATAATGAAATACCATAATTCATTGGCTTTGGATAAGAGTGCGTTGACAGGGACTTGTGAGCATCACAATGTAAAAATTAGGGGCAAGGAAGCCATGGGTAGAAACTATATGTCTTGACCTCCTTGAATAGGTTATATATTTATATTCCATTTGTCCACCCAGGAGCACCTTCAGGACAGAAGGATAACAATTATCAGACGGATAGGATGACATGACCTGACCTACAGAAGCTGACCAGTCTCACACCAGTCACATTTATCTTTCACCAATGGGCCCATGAAAAAGACAGTGGTGGGAGAAGGGAAATTATGCATGGGATCCCCAACATGGACTTTCATCCACTAAGGCCAGTCTAGTCACCATAATGCTGAGAGTGCATCCTAATGATAGGAGAGAAGCTATTATGTCTTTAGCTTGGCATCACTAGATGGGAGACTATTTTAGCCCACCTTGATGATAGCTTGACTCCATTAGGCCACTTCCATGACAAAAGGGACAGTGGCTTGTTCTGGAAGAAATGGTCACTTCCTCTGAATATGGATTTGCCTTTTCAACTTGCAATACTTTTGTCAAAAATACCATTTGTGGTTTAACAAATGTCTCATTCACGCTTGGTATTCCACACAATATTGTTTCTGTTCGGAGAATTTGTTTAATAGCAAATACAATGCGACAATGTGTTCATGCTCGTGTACGTTTCTTATCATGCTTTCTATTAGCCTGAGGCACATGGTAATGGAATGATGTGATGTTGTTTAAAAAAAGATTTAATCCCGGCACCCACTGGGTGGTCTAAGGTAATATCTCAGAGGTAAGATATTGTATATTTTCTGAATCATTCACAAATATACAGTGCTATTTCAACTGAGATTCACAGATTCAGAAATGAAGGGAAGGAACTGGGAAAGTCTCCTTTTATTACTTCATTTGTTTACTACTATTGGCCAACCATCTTTGGGATACAGGATAATCCTAAATCTCATCAATTGGAAGATTTATATAGAATAATATAGAAACAAGATTACTCCGATATTAACTTTATTAGAATGAAGGTCAAAATATTAATGAATAAAGTGTCAGACACTATGGAAGTGTTAAGATTTTACTATATATTCAATCTATCAAGTTTACCTGTCACATTTTTAGAGCAGAAGACACGAGAACCTGGGTTAGAGACAAAGGACTTTATTACAGCAATAACAATGTGCAGAGAATCTGTATTGTACTGACTCTCTGAGCCCCATTTCACACAGGATAATATGAAAACAGTCAAGTGATAGCTGTACATGCAGTGAATAATAAAAAAGAAACCTGGAAAATTTTAATGAGAAGCAAGCACCTTTGCCCTTTGTTTCATAGAGACATTATTTTTCATCGTGGTTCACTATACAAACATCCTTTAAATGATACTTCAGAACAAAAGCCGACAATGCCTTTTCTTGCCAAACACATGGAAATGTGGGAGATGTGTGGAGAAGTATCTCCCAAAAGGAAGTTGCACATATTTTATTGAAAAAAAAACCTAAGAATTTTATGTACAATATTTTCTCACAGGAAAGAAATTTAAGCTGGCTTTTGAACATTTCACAGAATTGTAAACTTTTTAATTTTTAAAAGGAAAGTAACGCAATGAAACTACTATACTATTATATCATTTTAGTTTTTCCTTATTCCCAGGGAAAACGCTTAAAAGTATTTAGTAAACTTCATGATTTGTGAATCTATGTATTATCCTCTTTCATAAATCTGCTAAAATGATACAAAAGTGGATGCTGGATCAATGTTTTGTTCAAAATATTTAAAGCACTAAAATCTAATGGCAACATGTTAAAATAATACACAATTGTGTAGGCTGTCAACATTTCTAGAGCATTTTTCCTAAAATATATCAACAGTGCCATGGTGATTCAGTGTAAATAACTACAGTGTTTCATTGTTATAATACTTGTGTTCAAGTGCATGTTCATGAACATGATCAAAGTCTCTGCTTCACTTTTTCATTATTAAAACAAGGTTAACATTACAGTAGAATTTTTTCCATGGATGTCTCTAAATCTTAACCAAATTCATAATACATTCTTTAAAAACCTGCTCAACACTATGAGGTTTACACATCTCCTGCAGATGACAGAAAATGGGCTAATTCTGCAGCAGGACACCAAAAAATAAAACAATGAAAACCCATGATATTCCTCCATATATAACTAAACTATAATGCTAAGGTAGTATATGTACTGGATAACTCAATGGTATTGGTGGAGAGAAAGTAGCACCTTAGAGAAAACTCTAATTTAAACCAAAAAAAAAAATTTAATGATCTTTTGTTTCATTTTTATTTTTATCAGGCTACTAGATCCAATGTATTCATTCATATAAAATTATTTATGAAGCCTTATAGTATAAATCAAAACGTTTGTACAACTAAAACACCACGTTGGATGTTTGACAGGCAAAAAATAAATTAATTTGATTAAATTATATGTAATCTGATACTATTTGGTCTGAAAAACATGCTAGTGTGTGTGTTTATAAATAATGTAATTGCAAAGAGCTGTGAGCCAGTCAGCCAGCGTGCTGGAGGTCAACTCCTCTCCTGTAGCCTTTGGGCGTAGAAGTCCCTGCAAGTGTCACAGCAGCGCTGATACCACCGCATGTCCTGACACAGATTCTTCTCACGTATCACTCGACAGTACACTGGCCATTGATCTCCCAGACATTTGAAGGTCAGGGCAGCTGTGAAACAGAGCATACAAATTCAGATACCTACAGATAACATAGTTGTCATCGGCAGAAACAGATTTCAAAGTGGAAGCATTTTGTATACTTATTTTGACTCATTTATATAGCCCTTTTGGAATCTAAGAAACAAAGAAACATATACACACACAGTAACCCAGGAGTAGAGTGAATAAATAGAATTCTTACTTGTTGTTATGGTTTATGTCTAGATGTTCCTCTAAAGCTGCATATAATCATAGGTTGGACCTTTGGAAGGTGATTCGATTATAGGAGCATTACAGCTATCTTACTGTTGGGAGGTGGGACCTGGTTGGAGCAGGCAGGTCACTGGGAGCATGATCTAGAATTTTATGTCCCTCTTCTCTGTTCCTCTGTTGACTCACTGCCTCCTCAGTGTCATGATATAAACAGCTTCTCCTCTGCGACACCCCTCTGCCAAACCATCCTACCTTGGAGCCATCTGACTATGGACTAAACCTCTACAAACTGTAGCAAAAGAAACCTCCCTTCGTTTAAGTTGTGGGTGTCAGACATTTGTACAAGTGATGAAGAAAGTAACCAAGAAAGATTTTTGGTAGCAGAGAATTGGGGGTCATTGCTGTAACTGTTACCTAAACATGTGGTTTCGAAATCTTTGAAACTGCTTTGTGGGAGGAGTTTGGAAAGGTTTAGAAATGGCAACTGAAGAAGTTTTAGAATGCCTTAAGTCAAGCTTAAGAGAGATTTTTGCCGGGGCTCAGAACACCAGAATGCTGATAGACTAACTTCATGAGGTTTCAGTTGGGAACAAGGACTCCATTGGAAGTTGGACTCTAGAAAATGTACGATATTCTTTGGTAGAAAATGTGTCTACATTTTGCTCATGTCCTGAGACACTGTAGAGATGTTGACTGAGGGCAGATTAATAAATCTGGAGGAAAAAATTTAAAGGCAGTCCAATGTTCAGGCTGCAACTTTGTTACTGCTTGTGGCTTTTAGTATAATAAACTGTAAGAAACAGGAGGAAAAATCCCAGTTAAAAAGCTCTCAGTTTTGCCACAAAGAAAGCTCTAGTAAAGATGGAGCAGAGGGGAGCTTGTTCTCTAAAAAAGATTCACATTAAAAATAAATCAGGTACCTTACCACAGGACAATAGAAAAGATGACTTGAAAGCATCACAGGAACCAGCAGTCTCCTTTCTAATCTACCTCTCTATAAACTCAAAGTTTCAAAGGTGAGAGACTTGGCCTTAGAAAGAGAAATATAGGGCAACCTGTTTGAGGACAATGACGGCCTAGGATATTGATTCCCCAGTACCCAATTTACAGTGCTTAGACATCCAGGCACTCAGAGACCAGTACAGCCGTGACTTAAAGGGGCTAAGGCTCCCGCTGATGGCAGACCTTGGTGTAATCCATGCAGTGCTGGTTTCACAGGTGTATAGAATGCAAGCACTGTGGGGGTCAGGAAGGCTTCCACCCGGATTTCAGAAGAAGGCTTGGGAGGCCAGGCAGTGTGCCCCTGAGAGGGCGGTGTGTGAGTGAAAAGAAGTGAAATGAAGAGTGACGTGAAGCTGTGGGTGATGTAAGAGAGAGCAGAAAGTTGAAAAAGCCAGAAACATGAAACATCAGCTGCGACCACGAGCAAGGGTGTAGGGCTGGGCCAGCAAAGCACTCTGGGGTTCACATCTCGTCATAGCTTGTGCTGGGTGCTTCACATGGAACTACGGGTTTTAATGTTTGCCTTCCTTTGGTTTCATTGGTTTATATCCCCCATCCCCTCCTTTTTGAATAGGAATATCTACCCTGTGACATTGTATGCTGGTAGTACACAACTTTTGATTTTACAGAGGAGCACAGGGAGGAGTTTGTCTTAAGTCTGAGAGGAGACCTTGGGTTGGACTTTTCAGCAGTCCTAAAACTGCTAGAGCATCAGCAACTCTTAGAGATGATAGACTAAGAGCATTTTGCTTAAAGTGGTGTTTATATGCCTCTTTATGACAATGGGAAAAATGTTATGATTTATATTTAGATGTCCCCCAAGAACTTCTTATGGACATAGTTGGGATTTTTGGATTATGGGATGCATAGCTAGCTTGCTATCAGGAGGTAGGGTCTGGCTGGAGGGAGTTCCTTGCTGGGGGCATGGCCTGGAAGGGTTTGTCTCCCTCTTCAGCTTCTTTTTCATTCTGTTTGCTTCGCGGCTGCCACGACATGAATGGCTTCTCTGCTCTGTGCCTCTGCTATACCATCCTACCTTGGAGCCACCTAAGTACGGACTGAACTTCTACAAACTGAAAGCCAAAATAAAGCTTTCCTCCTTCAATTTGTGGATGTAAGGTATTATGTCTCAATGATAAGAGTGTCTAAGACACTTATGAACATTTTAAAGTTAGATTTCCCAGATTCAGTATGAGATACTTCCAGGCTTCAATTTTATACCTTTCAGTTAATCTTCTTTTGGATTTTGTTAGAGAAAATTAAAAAAGAAAAAAATGTACTCAATGTATCCACCTTAATGGAAATGTAAATGGATCACTGTTGCTATGTGGGATTACAAAGAAATGTTAAAATGAAAATATGCTCACGCTTATTTCATTTTACTAAATTCTCGCACAAGTGTGCAAAAATCAAAGCTGATTATAAGTGATTGAAATGTACAGCAATAAAGTATTTGAAATGAGACTCTAATATATAAATTTATCATGCATATTTAATATCAATTTTTCAGAAGAAATAATATTTATGAGTTTGTCTTGCTGTATTTCTTGCTTTGGTCGCTATTCAGCTCATTATTTTATTTTTTAAAATCTTAGATTTTTCACTAAGTTTACTTCTGTGAGTTGGGTATGCCTTCCAGAAATAAAGAATGAAATTCAATTTCAATGAAACTATAAATTCTTCATTCCATTATTTTGTGCCAAATGTTACTTCAGGTAATTACCAGAGAAAGGGATTGTGTTGTCATTGAATATATGGATTGGGTGCATCTGCTTTAGGATAGCTAAATTTTGTTTTAATTAGTCTTACTCTATGTGCACTGATTATGTCTTAGAAATGTTAGTTATTTAGCTCAGAAAAAAAGGGTTTTTATAGTTCCATGAAGAAGCAAACTTTTCATTTCTCTGAATTTATGTTTTAATAAGTACATATCGTAATACAGCCCCTTGCATTTTGGCAATACTGTTCTGCATAATTAAAACTGCTCTCCTGTAGACTATATACACAGGCTAAAATCAAAGATGTGAAACATAAAGCAACCCACTGGCAGTAGGTAAGAATGTTGTTAAAAGCCACTAGTTTTCATAGAAATAAAGCCTAGTTCATTTGTTAATATTTATTAACAAGAACTGGCTACATCTATCTGAAATATATACTTCTTAGTGATAGTTTAGACCAAGTAACAAAAATTAAGAGTAAATATGAAAGCACTTCATAACATAAAACTACATAAATATCAAAATACTACTAATATCTTTCTTTCCTGTTTTTTTTTTTTTTTTTGGTACCGGGGATCAAACTCAGGTCGTTGCACTTGAGCAAGGCAGGCTCCAGAACCACTGAGTTAAATCCCCAGCCCTAGTATCTTAAAATATATTATTCTGTCCTTCAAGATGACCATCAAACTAATTTTGTTCACTGGAGTACATTCACATACTCTTCTTCATGAAAGCCTTTTTTAAAAATTCCATGTCTCTCCAAAAGATAGTTTGTATTCATGACCACATGGAAATCTGCTAACCATAGGGGTGGAAGGCTTACACTCTGACCTCGCCTTCCAATAGACATTATCTTAGTTGACTCTTCTGTCACAGGACTGGTCTGAAACTAAAATTTGGTTGCATCCTGAGACCCTTTATGGGTGACCTCCAGTGTCACGTACCCAAGATTAATATTTCCTAGATCTGGCTCTCAGTAAACACCTTCAGGAATCAGAGTGGTTTAAGTTTTTCTTACCCACAAGCCCAGTTAGATTAAATCATATTTAAATAGATGCAGTTTAGAGCTATGTAATTAGCATAGCTTATCCACTCCCAGTCTTTACAGTGATGTACAAAATAGAAAAAGCTATAAGCATTTCTGTTTCTCAAACCATCTGCTGTTTGGTCTGCTTACCCAGTCTGGGTGATGTTATTGTGTTTACATTAATCTTTTCATTGCAAGGCTGAAGGTGGCATGGCCTGTATGCAGCAGGTTTTTCTGAAGCAAAGCATTCATTTCCGTGTCTTCCTGTGATCTTATGCATGCACTGGATAACACGAGACTGCATTCCTTTGCCACAGGTAATTGAGCACTAAGAGAAATAGAAGATTTGTTAAAATTTCTTCTTCTGTTTCCCTTTCTTAGACTATGAACCATCTTCTCTGTATATTTCTTAAACATGACCAACACCATTCAGATGCAAAATAATCCAAAAGATTAAATACTGATGCTCTTCACTTGAGCAGAATTCTGTCAAGAACCTCTGGTTGTCCTTGAGCAGAACTCAGAGCATCAAAGGACTCTGGACACTAAGGAAGAAAAACAAAAGTTGAGAAGCTGAGCGTGTGATAAGGGATAAATGATGTTTCTCTGCTTGGTCAGATAGTTCTCCAAGGCCCATACCTGGTTTGTAACATATAATTAATTTATATTCAAGTTAGCACATGTCCAATTGTGTATATAAGTCTGCTAATGACTTTCAAATCTTCTCAGCCCTTTTAATTGTTCTGGGCTTAAAATGTGTAACAACAATACACATTTATTGATATATTGTTGAGATAATTGCTCTTTCTTGGTAGGTTAGGCAATATCCACTGTTATGCTGATAAAAATATTCAAAACCTGGGTTTCTCTAATAAAATGCACTTTTAATAGATTCCTTACTCCAGCTAAATATAGTTTGTATTCAACTGTAGGATATTTGTTTTGGCCACAAGCATGTGTGATGTACAATAGTCATTTACAGAGAAGCTCCTTGGTTTCATTTATATCTAGCCCAGATTTCTAATAAAATGCAATTTTAATGGAGTCCTTGCTCTTTGGCTAAATGTAGTTTATATTCAATTGTAGGATATTTGTTTTGGCCACAAGAATATTTGATACACAATAATCTTTTATAGAGAACATTCTTGGCTCCATATATATATAATTAGATTTATCCTGTGACACAAATAAAGTGAAGCTAATTGGACTAAGAAAATATAATTACTTTATAGTATCATATTATTTTCTGTCTGATAAAGATTTAGACATATTTTGCTAGAGAAGTTCATTAGTTCATGTAGAACTCTTCAAGTAAAATCTTACTACAGTATATTCTAAGTGAAAATTGGTAAATGGTTTCCAATGGCACTCTCTTAAATACGTAGACCGTGAGATTCTTAGTGCTTATATTTTCTCTGTACTTTACAAATATTTGTTAAGATTGCATTCTCTGTGGCATCATTTCCTCCTTCATGATTATAGTAGGCTCATGTCTTCTTATTTCCATTTGCCTAACGGGAATATTATAAAAAATCTTTAATACCCTTAAGCCTAGTCTACAATAACTAAAATTGTCTTTAATTTAAATTTCTAGTGAACCCCACACTAACTTAGTATATACCTTTTAAAATTTTACATATGGACTCTCCTCATATAAAAATCATGGGTTATTCAATTCACCGGGGCCTATAAAATAAAGCTCAGATACCATTATCTTCAGACTTTCATTTATCTACCTCTTTATTAAAAACCATGCTTTATTACAAACTAATCATACCAATGCAATTTATTTCCCCAATTCTACAGTTGTGCTCATACTTTCCTTTTTAAATGTCTTGCCTCTTTTAAAAACACAATCTCAAATTCATCTCCTCCATGAAGGCGTCTACATTATCCTGTCCATCCACACATATTTATGCAACAGTTATGGTTTACTCACACACCGAAGTTACACTTGAGAACCACATGGGGAGATTTAATATATCACACACACATACATATTACATGTAGAATTTCTAGCAGTGATTCTATGCTATTATCTAGCATAATAGATCTAGCAGTGATCTCACATGCAAAAAATAACAAAGAGTTTATTATATAATATAGCTGAAATTAGAAACTCCTGGTCAAATGTTTGTGCACTGCTTTTCATGTAGGTTATTTGTATAGCTTCTTGTCTTTAAATATTATCTTTTGATGCATCTAATTTGTCTGATCAGCTAGACAGTAACTGCAATTAAGCTCATTTTCATGTCACATTCACGAAAAATATAGCTTACTATAAAATAATGTATTTTTATTCATATACCATTGGCATTAATACAAATCAACAGATAACTAATCTATTTTATTTTATTTGGGTGTGTTGGAGGGAGTTTTTGCTATATTGCCCAAGCTGGTCTCAATCTACTGTGCTCAAGTGATCTTCACCCTCAGCCTCTAAATATTTGGGATTATAGGCACAGGCCACAGTTAGCCTAGCTAACTGATATCCAAAGTTTTAATTTTAAATGTTTCTGAATAACATAATTTTTATATTTGATGAATGACTGACTTTCTATAAAGAGAACAAACTGTTTGATATGGTCTTAATCCTGCAAAACCTTCATCTTGTGATGCTTTACAAAATGGGTGTAATTATCTAAACAAATGCTTGCTAGAAAATTTTTTTGAAGAAAATGTGAACTAAACTGAACTAAATAAAGCTTTAAATAGATGTATTTGCCCTGTGTGGTGAAGCTTGTCTGTAATCTCGACACTTGGGAGGCTGAGGCAGAATTGCCATGAGTTCAAGGCAAGCCTGGACTACACCATGAGACCCTGTCTTACAAAAAAATCAATAACCGAATTTTGCTCTGGTAGGCCTGCCCCTTCAGCCCAGCACAGCAGAGGAGACTGACAGTAGCTTTCAACCCTCTGGTGGGCCTGCTTCTTCAGTGCAGGGCAACAGAAGAGCACAGAAGCAGCACAAAACCCTCTTGTAGGCCCGCCCCTTTGGCTTTCAAATTTTTTTCCTTTTCTATCTTCTTTTCCCCCCACCTTTCTTCCACCTTGATCTTCATTTCTATCCCTTTTTGTTCCTGTTCCTATCTTAATTAGTATTTATTTTTTATTTTTCTTTTCTTCTCTTTTACCTTCTCTCAATTGCCATTAGTTTTCAAACAAAGTGATTACAGCCTCTAGCCTCCAATTGTTCTTAGTTTTTTCTGTTCTTGTGTATGTTTTGTGCTGTTATATCCTCTCATCTTCAACAGCTCCCTAGAGTTTGTGTGATCTTCCTGTGTCCTCTGACCTCACTTCTAAACTTTCTCTATCCTATCTATCTATCCCTCTCTCCCAATATCTTCTAAGTCCTCAACCTGAAGGGTAGAATTGCCATATTGAAAAGTTTACTCACTATAAACATATTTTGGGCTGGTCCTCAATTTTGATTTAATTCATACAGTTAAAGGTGATAGATTAATAAATACCAGAAATTGTCATTTTCTAAGATGTGGTTGATGTTATTGTGTTGCTGAGTGTATCACATGAGCCAGGGTGTTGTCATTGACCTTATCAGTTGTCCTTTCTCATATAATGAAAATGAGATTGCCTTTACAGTCATTAGAGACTCAAAACCTAAAGACCAGCTATATCTGGAAGATCAAAGTATTACCCAGGAATTAAAGGAAAGACAGTACCAACAACAATAAATAGAAATGAGAAGACATTTAAACAAGGCACAAACACAGACTTCCACCTCATCAAAGTAAACTCTGGGGGAAATGAGGTGGAAAAGTCTGAGAGTCGACCATCTGGACACTCTGAACTGAGAGCACAGGAAGTAAGTAACAAAACAGATACATGAGGCTCTCAAAAAATTCACAACTGAAATAAGATCCCAGATAACAAAAGAGATGGTGAGGAGAATGAAAGACATGATTAAAAACTCTAGAACAGAAACAGATAAAAAAAATAGATGAGCTCAGGACCATGATGAAAACTGTGAATACCCAGCACAGGAAAGAAATGGAATCCATGAATGCCCAATGTAGGAAAGAAATGGAATCCATGAAACAGATTCAAACAGGTATCTAGAAGATTAAAACTCTATAGAAAGCATTAGCAGCAGAATGAATGAATGTGAAGATAAAATTTCAGATACAGAAGATAGAATTGTGGTCAGTGATCAGGAAAAGAGACATCTTTTAAAAACTGTAAGGGATCATGAGAAATTGATCCAACAGCTCTTAGATGATACAAAGAAGAATTATATAAGACTGATAGGAATCCATGAAGTAGCAGAGGAAAGTACAAATGACATAAAAAATATTGTTTACAGAATTAATAACAGAAAACTTGCCAAAGAGAAGGGAAGAATTTGACATAGAGATAAGTGATGCATATAGGACTTCAACTAGCCATGATAAAAAAAATATCTACACCAAGACATATAATAATCAAGATCCCAGAAACCCAGAAGAAGAACATAATGCTACAAGCAGTAAAGAAAGGAAACAAATCACATGCAAAAGAAAGCCCATCCGAATCACAGCAGACTTTTCAACACAAACCCTCAAGTCAAGGAAAGCCTGGAGTGAGGTACTTCAAGTCCTAAAAGAAAACAACCTCCAACCTAGACTGATGTATCCTGCAAAACTATCTTTCAAAACTGATGGGAAAATAAGTCATTTCCATGAAAAAGAACACCCGAGAAATTTCATAAGCACCAAACCAGCACTCCAAACACTTCTAAACAATATCCTAGAAAAATAAAATGAAGGCCACAACTCCATAAGCAAAAGCTAGACATATGGCAGGGCGTACCACAATTTCCAACTTGAAACTATACTACAAACCCACTGTGATAAAACAGTATGGTACTGGCAAAGAAACAGACCCCAGGATCAAGGGAATAGATTAGAAGATGCAGAAACAACACCAGACATACTCAGCTACATCTTTGACAAAGGAGCCCACCATCCACACTGGAGGAAAGATAGCCTCTTTAATAAATGATGTTGGAAAAACTGGATTTCAACTTGCCAAAGATTAAAACTAGGCCCATATCTTTCCCCATGCCCTAAACTAAAATCCAAGTGATTAAAGATCTAAATATCAAAACAGAAATACTAAACTTACTGGATAATAAATTAGGTAGAACTCTCGAAGACATTGGCATAATGAAAAGGCTTTATGAACACATCCTCAGCAGCATGAGAACTTGCACAAAGAATCAACAGCTGGGATCTCATTGCATTAAAAAGTTTTTGCAGTGCGAGAGAAACACTGACAGAGCTAAGAGACAACCTACAATGTGGGAAAGGGGGTGAAGGGAGGGCAGAGGTT